GCTGTGGCCCTGTGGCCCCACCTGTGGCCCATCTGGCAGCTCTCCGCACACCAGCCAGTCCTGTGCTGTGGACTGCGGGTACCCGGGCGCCACCTCCAGCTCGCCGTCCAGCACCTTCCAGTACTCCTGGCCGCGGAAGAAGTAGGAGGCCCCTGCCAAGGAAGGAGGCAGCTGAGGGCAGCGGCCAGGGCGACAGGCACAGGGTGCAGGGCCACCGTGGTTGGACATGGGCCTGGGTGCCCAGGGGGGCCATGCCCAGCTCTGCTGCATTTTTTTTCCTGGATCTGCCCAGCCCAGGGTGGTGGCCCAGGGTGGCAGAGCTGACCAGTTTCTGGTCTGGGGTCAGGAAGGCTCTGAGCAGGGCCTGGGCATCATTCCGGAAGTTGCAGGGCTCTGGAGGACCCAGGGGAGCGTTGTGGGACCCCATCCTGAAGATGACGCACCAGCCTGGCACTCACCATCGGACCAGCGCATGGCGTCGTCCAACCTGCTGGGGACGCCCCTCCACAGGGGGCCCTGGGCAGGGTAGCCGGGGTCCATGCGCCGCGTGTGGTCATCATAGCGCCAGTACAGCTGGTCCCTGAAGAAGTAGGTGCGGCCATCATGGGCCCAGGCAAAGGCTGCATCCACGCCGCCCGGCGGGAGGCTGAAGTCGGAGATGGGCCGCGGGTACCCTTCCTCCACGTTGTTGTCCTTGAACACCCAGTACCTGTCTCCTGGGGTGAGAGCAGCAGACAGACACAGAAGGGGGAGTGAGGCTTGGCCCCACCCGAGCCCCCGCCCCTGTCCTGGGTGCCTGTGTCCCAGTGCTGAGTCCTCCCGATGTGCGCTGAGTGCAGACTGTGCCCAGTGCCGCTGCTCTGTGCCGTTGACTGCCTAGGACCCAAGTTCCGCTCTGGACACCACTTACAGGACATGGGGACCCACAGATGGTGACGGTGGAGGACTGGGAGCTTCCTGGACAGGACGCTGCTGTCCACATGGTCTCCACACCTCTGGGGAAGTACATGGGACAAACATCTCAAAGCCCTCTGTGGGACAAAACCTTGGGTGTCTCTAAGACGATGTCCTGTCATCCTGCACCTGAGAGGCTGAGGCAGGAGGATGGGGAGTTTGAGGCTGGCCTGGGCTACATAGGGAGACCCTGCCTCACAAAATCAAGACACCAAAGACCCAACACGACTTCCCGATGGCCAGAGGGCAGAGAGTGTAGACAAGTCTTACCACCCTGGATCAGCAGGAAGCACAGGACCCTAGTGGGCCGTGCAGTGGAGCAGGAAGCCAAGGGTGGTGCCTCAGGACGTGAACAGGACCCAGGGAGATGTGCTCCACCCTGGCTGAGGTCTGCAGAGCCCAGACCACGTGTGGACAAGGAGAGGGGACTCCTGGCCTTGCACCAGCTGAGCTCGGAGCACGGGCTGCCCAGGGTCTGGAGCCCACCGGGCAGAAAGCAGGGTGGGGACAGGGAGCCCATGTTTTATGGGCTGGGATCCAGCAGGGAGGATAAAAGAACTCTGAGGGTGGGTCTCAGCGATAGCTGCATGGCCCTGAATGTGCCCTGACTCCCACACTCCAAGTGGTTAAAATGACCAGGAGTAGTGGTGCACGCCTCTCATCCCAGCTACTCAGGAGGCTGATGCAGGAGGATCACCAGTTGGAGACTGGTTTGGGCAATTTAAGAGACCCTGTCTCACGTTTAAAAAGAAAAGGCTGGGGTGCAGCTTGTTTTGTTTTTTGTTTTTTTGAGACAGAGTCTCACTATGTAGTTGAGACTGACCTGGAACTCACTATGTAGCTCAGGCTGGTCTCCAGCTCACAGTGATCCTCCTGCCTCAGCCTCCTGAGTGCTGGGATTACAGGTGTACACCACCACACCCATCTTGGGGTGCAGCTTGTGACAGCATTTACTGCCACGGGTGAGGCCCTGGGTCTGCCTGCTACTGCAAAACAGCAACCATAACTGAAAAGATTAAAATGTTAAATTTCATTACCCTTCACCACATTGAAAAAGGGGCAGAGGTATGGTTTAGGGTGGGCACTTGCCCAGCATGGCCCTGGGTTCGATCCCCAACACTGCAGACCATAACATAAAACAATAAAATGCCAACTCCATGCAGAGGAGGGAGGAGGCGGCACGAGGTCTGTAGAAAGTAGGGAAACTGAGCAAACAGACACTGCGCCGGCACAGCAGGGGCTGCATAGCGAGAAGTGGTGTCCACGTGACCCAGGCACGGACACAGGCTTCAGAGGACCAGACAACTCTGCCCATAGCAGCCTGGAGGTCCAGCCAGGCTGCAACACCCAAGCTGCGGGTCCCGGGCTCCGCGGGGGCGTGGGTGCCTGGCTTTGCGCCATGGCATGAGGGTGCACACAGGTACATGCAGCAGGGCAGAGCTCAGGGCTGCCCAGCCCGCGAGAGGCACACGGCACCCACAGTTCTGCAACGCCAGGGTTCTCTTTGCCCAGTGCAGTTTGTTCTGCAGTACAGGGTGGAATCCAGAGCCTCTGCACTGAGATATGCGCCTGGTACTTGTTTTATTTTTGAGATAAGGGTTTCCCTAAATTGCTTAGATTGGGTTCAAACCTGTGGTCCTCCTGCCTCAGGCTCCCGAGGGCTGGGATTACAAGTGTGCTCACTATGCTCAGCAAGAGGCTCTATGTAGGGACATGGACCAGGCCCCAGAGACAGCAGGTGGGAAAAGCAGGGATACAGCAGTACACAGGGAAAAGAAGAAAATCAGGACAGCTCAGACCCGCATGTCCAGCACATCTATCAGAACTGTGATGGCTACTCCTGCCGGGGCACCCAAGACCTGCATGGTGCTGAAAGCACACAAAGTCTGCTGGGTAGGCACCTACCCTACTGCTCGTGTGGGGCCCTGACAGCCTCCTGGGTCCCCACTCATCTCTTAGAAGGGCCTGGTGGCCCTGGTCACCAGGGTCACTGGAGCAGTGCCTGGGCAGGTGCTAGATGCAAAGCCTGCAAGGTCAGCAGGTCCTGCATGCGGGCAGGTAGGGCCTGAGAGCACAGACAGGTCATCCTGGGAAGTCTCTGTGAGCTCCTGACTTGGGATCAGGGGTTGGGTTGGGTGGAGACCTGGGCAGGCAGAGCCCACTTGAAGCCTGCAGTGATGTGGCCCTGGAGTGGCCGCAGGGGAGCTAGGCCTGATACTGCCTCCACTTCCACCCTCGACCCAGAGCTGGACAGGAGATAAAGCTCCACCCTCAAGGCCTGCCATGCCCAGTGACCAATGCCGCCATCGGGTCTCACAGCCATGTCTTCCGTCCCTGTCTCTCCTGAAGCTGGCGGCCCTGCGGCCTCTCCCTGGCCCCCACAGGAGGCAGGATGCAGCCTGCTCTGCCCTGCTCAAGCTGGACACACAGCAGGTTCTCAGCATGTGTCTGGACTAGGCTCCCTGCTGCCACTGCAGCAAGCTGGTAAGGCCGCTTCCTGCCCACCTCGGAAGAAGACGATCTTGTGGTCGCTGGTGCGCTCATACACGGCGTCCACACCGTCCAGGTGCCGCGGTAACCCCCGCCAGAAGCGGTGCATCTGTGCCGGCTGCAGTGATACCAGGTGCCGGTCCCGTGTCAGCCTCCAGAAGTACCTGCCTGGGGGAGACAGGGGCTGTGGGGCGGGGCCAGCAGCCGGGCTTCCCCCTTCCTGTGTCCCTGCCACTGACCTTTGAAGAAGAAGGCTTCACCCCGGATCTGGGCCACTGCGTCGAAGTGGGTGTTGCACCTGTGGGGCACATCCCTCTGGGGCCTGTGGAGCACAGGGATGCGTGGGCAGCACTGGGCCCCAGCCTGGGACTGGGGAGCAGTCCTTGGAGGAAGTTGCCTGGGTATGTCAGGCTCTGCCCCCCGGGCCACTGGTTACACAAGTGGGGAACCCAGTGCTGGCTCCAGGGGCGGGGGCGGCGCTGGCCCCACATGTGGGGGCCCCGGGTTTCAGCCCTACTGGAATTCAGGGATCACGGGACACCCACTGGCAGGGCCCACCTCCCTGGGGACAGGCATGAGCGGCGGAGCTTACGGGGTGATGGAGCGGTTGTCAGGGGGCTCTGGCAGTGGTGGGGGCTCCTCGGGCTCAGGGTTGTCCGGCTGCGCCGTGGGGGACACGGTCTCCCGCACACCTGGGTGAAAGGGAGGCTGCGCTGACACTGGCCCTGTGCATCCCGGGACGTGGGCACTGTGGGCTCTGCTCTGCCCCTGCTTGGGCACAGACAGAGCACCACACGTACCATCTGGGCACAGGAAAAACCGGAGCCTGGACATGGTGCATGCCAAGGTAGATGTGGCCATCAGAACAGCAAGTGGATGATGGGGGACAGAGAAGCCCGGGCAGGCTGGGACGGGCAGCCTGGCACACCAAGGCCAGGGAAGGTGGGGCTGTAGGCCCCAGATCCCAGGGTCCCAGCAGAGAGGGCTCTGGCAGAACATCGTGAAATCTTGGCTTTTCTGGTTTGCTTTTGAGACAGGATCTCACTACATAGACCAGGCCAGCCTTGGGCTCACAGCAATCCTTCTGCCTCAGCCTCCTGAGGGCTGGATTCCAGGTATGTGCCAACCGGCTGGCAGGAATCTTAGCTTTGTACCCTCTAGCTCCAGGTGCCTCTGTCCTCCCGCGTGTGGGACAGCATCTCGGCTGCCCAGGATCAGCCAGATGCTCTGACGGTTGTCTCCACAGGCCAGGCCACCCCGCCACTCCCGGGACCTGTCAGGCCTATGGGCTTTCCCAGCCAAGGACCCAGGGAGCTGTGTCCCGTTCCAAGAGGCCGTAGTGGCTGGGGACACTCACCGTACAGCTGCCAGACGCGCACTCGGTCCTCGTAGGGGAGCCTGTAGCGCAGTGGGTCACCTACGGGGCCTTGGTAGTAGGGCTGCATGATGGAGCCGGTGGCAGCCACGTGGCCTAGCCCGATGGCGTGGCCAAACTCGTGGACAGCCACTGCAAACAGGTCCATCCCGTGTGCATCTGGGGATGGGCACACGTGAGCTACAGGGCCAGGCCTGGCGGGGTTCCCATGTTGCTGGGTCTCACCCAGGGCCCCCAGGGTGTGTGCCACAGGTGCCAGCAGCTGCGTGGTAGGGACCATCTCTTCAAGTCTTCTGGGTTGGTTCTGGTACTGGTACTGAAGCCAGGGGCTCTGCACTGAGCTACATCTCGGGCCCTTTTAGAATTTAGTCTTGCTAAGTCACAGGGTTGGCCAGGCTGTGCTCAAATTTGTGATCCTCCTGCCTCAGTCTCCCACAGGTATGTGCCACCATGCCAGGCTGCCTTTTCTGCGCCAGACCACCAGGTGGCGCTTTGGGCTGTGCCGCCCTGAGCCCTTCATAGAAAGCTCCCTGTGTCCCGTTGGGTGTCTGGTGCAATGGTGGGGCTGCTCTCTTACACCCGCAGCAGGGCTGGGTGGGCTCAGCTGCCTTGGATGGATCCCTGGGGCTCAGTGCACCCTGGCTGGCCCTGCCCAGGAGGGCAACTCAGGTCCCAGCCTCCCAGTGGGGCGTCTAGCCAAGGGGCCCCAGCTTCGTGACCCCACACAAACCCGAGGAGCGGAAGGTCCAGGCCTCGTCATCATCGAAGTGGGCGTCCCCTGCGGTGTGGTGGTCGCCTGGGAAGAAGGCGTGGGCCACGGTGCCACCAGGGCCATCAAAGGGGTAGCGGTCGTTGTGCTGGGCCCGGGAGAAGTCAATCTGGAGGTCGGCCGTGCTGCCTGCCACCTCATGGAAGTCGAGGGGCGCAATGTCGCTCCACACCTTGAGTGCGTAGTACATGAGCGCCCGCACCGTGTCCCGGCCCAGGGGCGAGTCCCGTGGGAATGTGCGCACCCTGGGGAGGGCCCGGCTCAGCTGGGGCTCAGCCCCCGGAGGACCCCACCTCCCCTGTGGGACAGGATGGCCTGGCCCAGGCACCCTGGAGGCCCTGCCCCTGCCCCCTGCAGCCAGGACAGGAGCGGTTGGGGCCTCTGACCACAGGCCAAGCAGGCACCCAGCGCCACCACCCACCTCCAGGACAGGCTCCGCTTGCTCCACTTGGTCGGGACTTGGGCCTGGCGCCTCCTGCGAGACTGGGCCGTGGGGGGCAGGTCTGGGAGGGAGCAGCGCGGGGTCCGCATGAGGGCCAGGGTGGCTGGGTCTGCGGGGACAGCGGGCGGCTGGCTTGGCTCTGGCCCAAGCTCTGTCCCAGGGGAGGCTCACACTGTGGCCCTAAGCCTTTGGGGTGGGGGCTCAGGACTCACCCAGGACACCAGTGGCCTCCAGGCCACCAAACTGCTGCATGGCAGAGATGGCTCTGGACAGCTCCTCCTGTGTCTGCAGGTGCCCGGTGGCAGGGTCAGCAGGGGGCAGGTAGCCAAACCTGCTCAACCATTCCTGGGGTAGAGAGTGAGGAGAGCCTGGTGTAGGCCCTGGGGGAGGAACCCACACCCTGCCCTGGCCCCAACAGGCCCTAAGCCCCTTTAATCTGCTGGGTGCCAATCAGGTGGGGGTGGGCTTGTGCAGTGCACAATCTGTACAACTGCTCAGAGCAGCACTGCCTCACCTCCTCCTGGGGCAGTAGACTGCCCAGGAGGCATTTAAGAAAGTGAACTGGCTTGATGTGGTGGTACACCCCTGTAATTCCAGTAGTCTGGGAGGCTGGGGCAGAAGGATTGCAAGTTCAAGTCCAACCTGGGCAATATAGCAGGTTAGTGAGACTCTATCTTAAAGAGAAAAAAAAAACCTTCTAAAATTAATTAATTTATTTTTGGTACCAGGGATCGAACTTGGGACCTTGCACTTATGAGTCGGATGGCAGCATCAATGAGCTAAATCCCTGGCATACCGCCCTCCTTTTTTTTTTGGTTTTTTGAGACAGTCTTGTTATGTAACTCAGATTGGCCTCAAACTCACCATGTAGCCCAGGCTGGCCTAAAACTCATGGTAATCCTCCTGCCTCAGCCTCCCAAATGCTGAGAATATGTGCATGCACCACCATACTGGCTGGGCCTTTTTAGCTTTTCATGTGAAATGGAGAGGGTCTCATTTGATACTCAGCCTGAGAGCAAATTTAGCACAGTGGCCCAGCCTGCCTCCTCCCCGTTCCAGATCAGCGCTGTCGCCGATGGCAAGCGGACACAGCATGCCCGGGATCCTGGCCAGGCGTGGAGGCACCCACGGGCAGATGCTGCCCGAGGTGGGGGCGTGAAGGCCCCACGCGCCTCTCTAAAGTTCTGGGAACATTTTAATGTTCAGTTCTGCAGCTTCCTTTCCAACGTCAGAAAGAGGCACTCAGTTCCAGTCCGCGGGCGACACAGAGAGTGGCGAGGCTGTCACCTGGGGCGGGGGCCCCTGGCAGCTACAGGCAAACATACACGGGGCAGCGTCTCCATCCCCTCCCTAGTGCGGGCCACGCAGACTCCACGGTGTGCTCAGGGCAGGCAGCGGCTGACCCTGAAAGGCCCCTGCTAACCTGGAGCCCAAAAGCTGCCTGCTGCCTCCTGCTGCCCAGTACCTGAAGTCCAGGAAAGGCTGTCCTGCCGGCTCGCTGCCTGCCAGGCCTCCCTGCTGTCGCCACGGAGACAGACCACTGTCTCCAGGGCAACAGAGGCTGCAGGAGGAGGGCTGCGAGCTGTTCGAGGTGAACCTTCCAGAAAGCCCCGGGGAGTGGCGTGGAGCCCCCTGCAGTGGGGTGAGGCCCACAGCCTGGGGCCTGCAGCACGGTCTTCCTGCAGGGCCACGGCATCACCACGACCAAGGTGGGGGGGGTCCCTGCTTGTTGGCACAGGCGATGTCCCCACGCCAATCCGGGGCCCAGGCTCCAGGTCCGCCTGTCACTCCCTTGACTCCTTCTGTGATCTCCGCACATTCAGAGATTGTGGCCAGAGCCGAGCTGCACCCACATCTCCCAGGGCCTCCTGGCCCCGGCTGCACAGATGGGAAAGTGAGCCCTACAAGCCACTGCAGGATGGGCTGGTGACCCCCACACCCCACACCTGGCAGGACACCTACAGAACCTTGATGCATGGCCCTTGGCCACGACTGCCCGCTCACAGCCACCCGCCTGCAGCCTGATGGGGAAGGCACTTGCTCTGCCTGGTTGGGTAATTCCCATCCCAGCGTCCTCCAGAGCTTTCTGCCCGTCCTTGTGTGCCCAAGTGCCCACTGGGCAGCGTGCTGGGGCCACCAGGACAGACCCTACCTGTCCTACGATCTGTCCAGGGGAAGAGAGCCATCAGCCCTTCCCACCTGGAACCTGCTACCACTGCCCCAGCCTTGGGACACAAGGGGTGTTGGGGTCCCCACTGAGCTCAGCACACAGCAGGTGCTCTACATAGGCTGTGGGTGCTGCTGCTACCCCATCTTACAGAGGAGAAAACCGAGGCACAGAGAGGCCAGGGCACTGCCTGACACTCACACAGCTAGTGAAGAGCACAGCTGACTCCTCAGCTCGTCCCTGCAGCTGCTTGGATATGAGGGGGACGGAGGGGCCAAGACATGGGCACCCAGGGACTCAGAATGGTGGGGAGACAAACCCAGGCAGTGCTGAAGGCAGCGAAGCAGCAGGCACCAAGCTGGGCATCTAAGGATGGAAGGGAACTGGGCAGAGGGCAGGTGGCCAGGCTGGGCTGTCCGGCCGGGGAAGGCACTGGGCTCTCAGAGTAAGCTGTGTGCCCGCCATACCGCCCTGTCCCACCTGGGCTCAGCATCATCATCAAGGAGCAGAGCCCACCAGTGTCTCCGTGCCCGTGGGAGCCTGGGACACCTGCCTGCGCCCACCCAGCCCTGTGGAGACCCGAAAGCAGCCAGTCCTCCAGGGCCACCACACAGAGGCCAAGGCCAGGCCTGGCATGGGTGCTGCGCTGCTCGGGGCTATGGGCCTGTCCACTTCCCAAGCCACATGGGCAGCCACCAGGGGCCAGGCAAGGACATGGAGAGCTGTTCTACTCCACAGCACCCACCGCTGCCCCAGCCTTCTCAGTTGTACCCAGGATGTGTGGTCAGAGTTTTGGGGCTTGCTGCAGGTGGGAGGGGCCAGGCAAGGGTCGACTCAGGGTGCAGGGGACGCGCCAGCTCCCACTGGTGGTCTGTTCACCTCGCCAGTGTGGGGACCCAGGCTTTGTTGCCTTGAGATCCTCCATGCCCTGCATGCTGGGGCCCTGCACGCTTCCCAGCGTTTCCCTATTAGGAATGACTCTTCCTGCTGATATCTCCAGTTTGCCGTCTGAAGGAGCCAGAGGTTCGGGTGTTTAGGGTGGAGGACCGCGGGCACTGCTGCTGGTGGGTGAAGAGAAGGCTGGTGGACGGCAGGCTGGCTGGCAGCGGCCTGCCTGGAGCCCCTCGGGGTGGGACAGGTCCCAGGGGTCTGCGTGGCTGGTGCTGTGACACACATTGTGCGGTGCAGCCCGAGAGGCGCCACGGAGAAGCAAGCAAACCAGATGGTCCCGGAGTGCTCCCCAAGACCGAATGCGGGGACAAGAGCATGGTGTGGGCTGCAGAGACAAGGGACCAGACCGGCCCACACAGCAGCCGCTCTTAGACTAGACACTGTCCCGGCCCAGGGCTCCTGAGGGAACACCAGGGAGGGCACAGCAACTTGGCCTCCAGCTCCGGCGTGGCTCGCGCGTCCACCCCGTGTCCCGGCCTCAATCCCGGCTTTGTGCTTGGGAGAGGACCCCGGCCGAGGCCCCTCCCGGCCGCCAGGAGCTGCCGGCA